TTAATTTGCTTCTGAAAAGGAGGTAACAACTTGACAAAATATCCATACCCAAATTTTGATACAATTAAGACAAGACATAATGAATTACAAGGAAAAACATATTAACTGTTCTTTACTACACATACTTAAGGGAGAAGAAACAACTCCTTTTTAAAATATTGGTCCTGTCAGGCATAGGGGCCCTTGCCTGTAATCTCAGTGGCTGAGGAGGCTGAGGCAGGAGGAATACAAGTTCAAAGCCAGCCTCAGAAACTTAGTGAAGTCTTTAGCAACTTAAAAAGACCCTATTTCAAAATAAAATATACAAAATAAAAAAGGTTTGGGATGTGGGTCAATGGTTAGGCACCCCTGGTTCAACCCCTAGTTCAAAAGACAAAAACAAAAAAAATGGCCAGAGTTACACAGACTGGTAGGATTCATTGTGATATTCATATATGAACATAACAAATTTGATCAATTTCATCTCCAGTACCTTCCTATGCCTTCCCTATTCCCTCCCCTGATTGCCTTCTACCATATTGGTTTCTCTTTTATTTTCATAATATGCTTTTTATTCTTTTTTTCTTTCTAGCTTCCACATACAAGAGAAAATATGATCTATGATTTCCTGAGTCTGACTTACTTATCTTAACATGATGTTCCCCAGCCCCTTCTATTTTCCTGCTAATAAAATAATCTCACACTTCTTCATGATTAAGTAAAACTCCATTGTGCATACATACATAATTTCTTTATCCCTTCTTTTGTTGATGGATACTAGACAGTTTCCATAACTTATATGGGTATGCATGTATCTCAACAGCATGCTGACTTTAATTCTTTTGGATAAGTTCCCTGGTATAACTCAATCATATGGTGGCTCTTTTGAAGAACTTCCATATTAATTTGTATAGTGGCTATTCTAATTTACATTCCCACCAGCAATGCATAAGAAATTTTTTTTTGATAAAGTAATGATTCAGGGAGACTTTGCGATGTCCCAAAGAAGCACTTCCAAAATTGCATTCCATTTATGAACACCAACTTGTGACATCCTCTAAGAATAAAATCCATAGTTAAATAAAATTTGTTGTATTTAATTTTCAAGCTTTTTGAAGAAACATTATTTTCTAAAACACACTTTACACACCCTGACTCTAGAAAATGGTGAACCATAAAATGGTGGGGGGAAGTGAAACTTTTGGGCATCTTATAAAATCATTCTATCTATCTATATTTTATCTATAAGTTTTAAGTTTAATTAATTAAAAATCAATTAATTAATTCAAGTTAAAATTGATAATAAATAAAAATTATAATAAAAAATATTTATAATAAAATATTTCACACTATTTTATCAAACTATTAAATATTTGAGCATCTGTCGAAGCAGCAGGCTGTGTAGATTTCTGTTAACATTTGTGAACCAGTAGCATTGTACTTATAAAAAAGTTGAAGGCATTCCCACTATAAATCTTAAAATTAGTGTGCTGATGAATTACTGAGTAGAGTTCATCACTGAGTACAATTTTATTTAAAAACAGAAATGATGGAATTGTATAGACCAAGTAATTTCATATCTAATCACTGTTACCAAAAGCTTAGAATCATTATTAGCAATCTTTGCATTAAATGATCAAAAATTGGTTTTGGAAGTAAACACTTTCATTTTCTTCTTCTAAACACTCCTGTGATAAGACTGGAATGTGCCAAGCTTAGCAAAGGATTCACCTCAATCAATACCACTGGAGCAAGAAGAAGATTGGTCCAGTGATTAATTTCATGTTGTACTCTTGGGAATAAAACAGCTGAGTATATTTGTTGCTATAATCCCTTTTCCCAAATGTAATTACAAATGGAATTGATCAACTCATGTGTTTCTACTGAGGCCAAAGTGGGCATATTAGAATTGGTAGGGTGTGTAATAATTTAGTACAGATCATCAGTCCTTGGGGCTACAGCGAATTGAATATTAGAATCTTATTTTAAAA